CAAAATGTGTATTTTCTACTTCATCTTTAATTGAATGCAGTATAAAATGTTGACTCAATGTTTAAGCGAAAGAGTGAATCGTCGTTGTTCTGTGATTTATGCAGCATTTGTATATTTATAAACGATTGCTCTTTCATCTTAGGAAGCTTCAGTAGAACGTGATACACCAGACGACGAAATGTTTACGATGTCACCTCAAAGTTCAGACGAAATTCCTCTATACCAACAGTCGATTCTGGGACCTATCGAAGAAACGAACGTCACGCTGTTTGCTATTATGCTCGATGTTCTGCTGAGGCAGGTACAAGCGTGAATGAAACATTTAATGAATTAGTGAACTGATGTGTTCATGCCTATGTATGAATGAGTGACGGAGAGTCGTGTTGAACTCTTTAGAACTTGATCATACTACAGACTTTGTTTAATTGATGATATGATAACAGCATCACTTGATCGTATTAAACATATGATGTTATTGCTTAAGATGGAGTTGTGGGATGTACCTAAGAATCAAGGTGTCGAATCAGGCTTGATGCAAAGCGTGCTGATCTTGTTGACGGTGATGATGAAAGCTCCATGGTCAGGAATTCATGTGTGCGAAAATCCAGATTTCGATGACTTCGCGGACTGTATGTACTGTCGTGTTGCGACTGTGTTTTGTCAGGTATATGGTTAGACGGTGTTCCTGTACAGGGAGCCTGTCAGGGGTTAACGTTATCTTCATTCCATATGTACTTAGCTGCTCGTGGAAACGGTACAAGACATATGTCCTAGGTGGTACTCAAAAACCGAGGTGTCGACGACGTACTCTGAAACAAAGGTAATCAACCAAGGCAAGGCTGGTAGGAAGTCGTTCGAGAGCGTGGGTTCCCTTGTCACCGGCATTGCACCGAAGGATTCTTCGAAATCGAGCACCTCCGTCGTTTTAGGTACGTTTACTTCCTTCGTACCGCTTCTAACAATCTTTTTAGAGGTTTTAACATCCAGCGCTGATGGCGGTAAGGGCCCTTTCGGAAAGACTAATGGTGCTCTGAAAACTGCCGTCATCCACGAAGAATCACCGCCGATCGAGTTCGTCGGTATTTTACCTACAGAGGAGGTTAGTTTACTCAGGTGGCTGACATTTTTCTAGGTGTATCGAATGTTTTGAACCATAATGGTTAAAGGAAAATCATAATAATGTTAATCACTCATCTCAGTTGATGCATGACTCTTCTAACACCGGTGTGTTTGTGGTTGTTTTATGCCGCCCCTCTTAGCTTTTATTTGCCTTGGAGGGGCATTTATGCATACCATAATTATATAATATTCGAGAATCTGTTATGCTAAATATATCTCGCATCATTCTCTTCGCTAGGGTAATTTTATTTTATCATGAACGATGTTCACGCATACGAGAGTCCCTATTTTTATCGCATTATGATTTAAGTGTTTTCGTAGGCTGGAATACGTGTAATCCGAATGGCATATTATATATCGTATTCACGGGATATAATTTAATCATGCTAACATTCTCTAATTTTGTTGCCTTCTACGTAGGCCCAGCGTCTTCATCAAGGCGCTTAAACGACGAAACTAACGCCTGG